TACAAAAAATTCTCCCTTGTTAGCTTTTTTCTTAGCCTCTTCAGTAACATTCTAAATGTTGAGAATTTTTCTTCTTTACAGTAATTGCAGAATTGATTTTTAGGCAGCATTTAACTTTTATAAAATAGATTGCAATTTTGAAAAGTGTGATCTTCTCTGTGATCTTTTGACACTTCGTATAAACAACTAGGAGAATAATATATTGAAGTTTGAATGGTCATTAATTAGTACACTTGTACCCACTTTAATTGATGGGACTGGTTGATTACTTTAAACAATATAATAATTCGTGTAACATTTTACATGATATTTGAACGTCCACCATACTCATGCCCCATACATAAAAAAAAATTTAATAAATGGTGGTTAACCAGTTAATTTAACCAGTTAAAAAATATCTTAAACAGTTAACAGTGCCAACCCCTACTTTCAATTTTACAGTGCAGATATCTATACTCAAAAGTTAAAATTTTTGAAATATTATGTGATCCACACATTAGATTTTAAAAAACCCACCACCATAATCCAGCTTTAAAAAGGGAGTCTATTAATCTAAAAAAAAAATTTGTCTCGAATTTTCTTTTCATAGATTTTTTTTTAAATTTGAAAGTTATGCTCAGAAATACAACAATAATTTTCGTGTTACAATATTTTGAATCTCACGACCAAATTTGATGATGATTTTCTTTTAATGTAATATGTTCGTTAAACTTTTTTGTTGTAAATAACTTTTTATTTATTAATAAAAAAAAGAAAATGAATAAATCAAATAAATCAAATGTATGTTGTAGAAAATATTCTATGAAAAAAAAGTTGTTACACAAAATTTACTTAGTCTCAATTTCTTAAATGTATAACAAATTCGGAATTTTCAAAATGCTAAGGCTCACCCAATTTTCGGTTTAAGAAAAAAGCACCCGATAAGTTTTGAAGCTTGATAATTTTTTTTGTTTTAGTATTTTGAAGTTGACCAATTGTAAGCAATTAATGATTATAGATGATCTGCGCCGTAGTGTACCTAATTTTTTACGAATACTAATACTAATACAGTCAAACCTCGTTACAACGGATCTATGGGACTGACCACCTAGACGAGATAATGATCTACAGGATCGACAGGAAAATTTTAATAATAAAAATTTTTTTTTAATGATTTAAATATAAACCTTCATACTAGAATTTTGTCAATTAGAAATAAAAAGGAATTTGATTATTTTGAAAAAAACAAACCAAATATGTAAATTTCTCTAATAATTGATATGACAATATGCTTCAAAAATTTTATATGTTATAACCTAAGATCCTCCAATTCTCTGGTATAATTTTTATCATATAATTTTGGCTACCTTTTCATTAAAAACAATATTTTACAAACCGTCTTTTTTTTCTTAACACACTGTAAATCAACAGTCTATAATGGATTCACGTGATCTAAAATACAGATTTCTACAAATTTAATCTTAAAAATCTCAAGAACAACAAGATTACTTAAATCTTAATAAATAAAATATAATGTAGAAAACAAATAAAATGTATAATTGAATTTCTTGATTTAAATCCGCCTAATTCAAGTTCCAAATCAATTTCTTTTGCTTCGTTATTTTTTAAAATATCATTAAATAAGAGAAAATCTTTAAGTTTATTTAGCAAAGCAGACGACTCTGATTCCAACAAACAAAGAATTAGCAACAACTTAAAAAAAGTCAAAAAATAGCATTTTATTCAAAATACAACCTAAATTAGATGATTTTTTTAATATTAACATTGAATAGTAATTTTTTTTTTTAAATAAAACATTTAATTTTGTGTTTCGTCAATATTAAAATTGCACGCGACTTCATATCGACGATTTTTCTATACTAATACCGGATTATCGATATTTTTTTTAATTCCAATGATCCGAAATAGAGAAAATGAACTGTATTCTACATATTTTATTGAATCACAGGGATATATTAATATGAATAACAATAATTAACTTTTTTTGTTGTTCTTTTGATGGGTGTCTAGAATTTTCATAAGGCAATGGTTTAGAGGTTGACACCGTTAACTGTTTAACCGGTTAATTTAGGCGTTACAAAATTTTATTTTTGTTCATCTAACTAGAATATATGGGCATGGACAATAGAAACAGCCCAAACGTCAAAATCACGATTTTTAGATAATCGAAAAAAAAGACCTGCATTTAAGTAATTACCTATTGTTTTTCAAAATTTTATTAAGCAAAGTGGATATGGGTTTCTAAGCTAAAATTAATCTCTGTAATAAATTGCATGTAGAAATGCTGTTAACTCAAAATCATGATTTTTGACGTTTGGGTCGTTTCTATTGTTCATGCCCATATATACATACCAAAACATAATCTATATTAATATACAGTATTTGCGTGTAATAATGAAATAAACGCTGACGGCTCTAGAGTTTCCAGCCGCTCTAGAGAGAGTATCAACCTTTACTTTTTCTTTTAGGTGAGTTTATGGTTAGAGTTTCTATTCGTAATACAGACACTTATTCGAATTACTCGTAATACAACTCAATCTTAATATTAATATCAATTCGTTATTTATTCGTTGTTCGTTTTATTCGTTATTCATTTTATTTGAATAAACATTCAATGTAATTTGAATACTCAACCCGTAACAAATGTAATAAATAATTTTTATTCGAATAGAAATCCTACAATGACTATTTGCCAGTAGAAAAAAAAATAAATCACTATTATTATTATCACTACAACTATTATTATAAATTGATCAAAGAAAAAAATTTCAATTATTTCCGCTACCACTACTACTATTATTATTATCACTAAAAGGTCAATGAAGTAAAATAGAACTAATAAAGAAATTTTTTTTTAATTCGATTGGATAATATCAGTTATATTATTCGAATAATTTTTTTTTATTCGAATTTACCAGTTAAATTTTTCACGTGACAAATTAACCGGTTAAAGAATTTTGCACGGTGCCAATCTTCACTACAATGGTTTGATTATAAAATATGTGAATGTTGCTGAGGCAGAATTTTTTAGGTCCTGTTCTTTCCAAATGTTAACGTTTTTTTACCTATTACCGTAATTCATAAGTAATTTGGGCACGGAAAATAAAGCAAAGCCATCATTATTTTGAGTTAATAGCAATTTGTCATAACAATCACTGGTACAAATCATTTAATTCACAAAGATTTCTTTATCAAATATATATTGAAATCATTTCATTATTTTGAAATGCAGATCTTTCTTTTTCTGATTACGGAGCAATATCCGAAGTACTTTTCCTTTGTAATTACAAAGAATAGAAAATAAATAACTGACGAGTGGATTAATGTGGTGATGTAATGTCCACAGTTTGATTTTGTTGTAATATCCACTATATGTAAATCCCATGTATATAGATAGCTTTAAATATTTTTTGTGTTGCGGTCATACGTGACACAAAAAAAATTTTAATGCTACAAGAATTTTTTGAAAACGTCCTTTAAAAGATTTATTGCATAAAAATAATAATATTTTGTTGAAATTTGCCTTCTCGGTAGAGTAATTGGCGATTAAAGAATCCCGTACCAATCAAATGCCATGAAACTTGAATGACGATGTTTGTGTTTCATTGATATGGACTGATTGGGTGGGCGAGTACGAGAATTAATCTGTAATTCAAGGTCAATTGGCACGAACAGCAGTTTATTTAAAAGAATAATAGCATAATCTATCATAACTATGATATAAACAATTATAGTGAAATGTAATTAACGGCTTTTTTTTGTTTTTAATTACGTTTATTTTTGATTGGTTCAATTAAATATATATAAAATGCAGATTTCCATAAAAGCATTACAACAATTAAATTAAATCAAAAATCAGAACAATGGTTAATATTAACAAATTACTATTGCATCATATTGACTCTTTATATATATATATTAATTGTGTATTATTATTATTCTTGCCCTTAAAAAGATTTTTCCCATTAATAAACAAATTAATTAATTACTAAAAATTTTTTTAAATTTCAACGAGCGGTAATTTTAAAAAGAGCGACTTATTTATTGGCCAAATTTGGGTAGTTTTAAATTAAAGTTGCATGTCAATCAAATTCACGTGCAATCTGATAATAACCGATAATATTGCAGCCGAGTTATTCAAATATTCAAACGTGACTTGAAAGGCATGGATGACCACCCGGTAAAATGCACCAATCAATAAAACTGTTCTTTTTTTTTTATAGTGAATTCGGGTTTAAATTTATCATTTACATTATTATTTATATTTCTATTTATTATTTATTATCGAAACAAATATAATCAAATCAATTTTAATAATTTATTTTCAATTTTATTTATTATTTAATTTGTCGCTATTTAGCGTTGTTGCATTTGTTACTTTGTTTCTTTTGTTTTTTTTTTGTTTTTTTTTGCTTTGTTGGGATTGATGACAACTGACACATTGATTAACTGGTTGGTTGATTGGTTGGTTGACTTGCTGTTGGTGATTACTAATTTTGTTAATAGGTAAATTCCGAAATACATATTTTGTCATTTGACAATGCTTTTACCAGTTATTATTGCGTTGATTATTAATTATCATCACTATTATTATAGAAAACAGTAATGTAATTAATAAATTATTTGCCCCATAAACAACTTTACCCAAATTTCACTTATTCCAAATTAGGAGCGTAACATTAAAAGAGGCATAATAACCAATTAAAAAAAAATCCATTGAATTCTATTTTGTGCAACAAGCTATTTCAGATATTTGTTTAAAAAAAAAGGTTTACAGGATTCCGAAACTATATGACCGATAGGTCAATGACAAAAAATCATAACTACTGTGATTTTGGCTTGTTAAATAATATCCCAAATTTGGTAATTTTCTCACAAACATCGTATTTTTTAAATAGGCCTTTTGTTAGAAGAATCGACCCAGTTGCGACAGTAATTTTTTGGCCTGGTATTGCAAATAAATGAATTGAATGAGTAAAATTAAAAGAACTATACAATATCATTCATTTTCTTCCAATTAATAAATATTAAAAAATATAATCAGTTCACTTTATTAGTATTTATTTATTTATTATACAAAATAAGAAAAATTTTTTCATATCACCTTTTGTGTAACCAATAAAACATAAACTTATTGGAAATTCTTATTCAGTTTCAAAAAGATCCTTAAACACATAAATGATCTCATAAGTTCATATACAGAACAATAATAACAATAAATAATAACAACAATAATAATTGTTTTAAAATGATTTTATTAATTTGTCTTTTCATTGAAATTTTCTTTTTTTTAAAAAATTCCGAACTAATTGTTTATGAAACTATAAACGAAATCTAAATAAAGCCAACAAAAGCAATTTAAAAGAAAATGGAATACAAAGAAAGACAAAACATTATTATTATTATTATCTTTCCTTAATTTTTATTCATTGTTAAGTTTGATTGTTGTTATTATTTGATCATTATTGTGTTTTTATTTGAATTTTAACCAATCGTTTAAATTAACTAACTTTGTTCTTGGAAATAGCAAAGAATCTTAAATAGAATATTCTTTAAGTTCTAAATACAGCAAGGAGTATAGTAAGTATTCAATCTAATAATATTTTTTATTTTTTTTTTTTTTTAAAATTTACGCGTTTTTTTACATTTATTTGTTTTAAAAGAGAATAATAACAAATTACAAAATAAATAAAATAAAATAAAGTACAATTTTCAAATAAATAAACTAAAAGAAAAATTACGAGAAAAAAAAAACTTACAATTTTCTATGTTTACATAATTTTATTGTTAATATTTATATTTATAAAATATAATTTACAGAGAAAGAATAAATATTTAACAATTTTATATATATATTTAAATATTTACTAAATGATAATATTATATATATGATGTGCTATATGAATGTTTGTTTTTATATGTGTAAAGAATATATATAAATGTGTGTGAATGTATGAGTGTATGCGTGTATGTATTTATAAAATAATATGTAATCTAATAGCTTATTTATATAATTAAACTGCATATTAGAAAGTTATGTTCAAAGTGTATTATTATTTATTATCTGTATTGACTGCGATTAGTTTTTCTTTGGCGTATTAACACCTTTCGAATAACTGCTACTATTTCCAACATTATTATTGTTGTGTCGTTGTTTCATAATATTTGATTTTTTGTTATTTTTATTGTTTTTGCCACAATTATTTTTATTTTTATTATGACCATTAATATCGCTCATATAATAATCATCATCATCATCAACAATATTGTCATCATCGTCATCACCACCACAATTAAATTTGGAAGAAGATTTCCCTAAACGTTTAAGTATTTTTCCTTCGACCAATTTGCTTTTGAGTTTATCAATTAAATCTTTTAAATCGTGATTTTCCAATTTCAATTCATCGACTTGCCTTTTCAAGGTATTATTTTCTTGTTTCAATTCGTTTATTGCAAAATTCATTTCAACATTTTGTTTATGTTTTTTGGCTCTATATTTTGCGGAAGCTACTTTATTTCTTTCTCTACGTTCTTGCAACGATAAAGGCATCATCATAAGGTCATTGATATTATTTGGTGTTTGAAGCGCAGATAACAACAATGCAGGATTTGGCGAACTTAAAGGAGTTGGCAAGTTTATTGGATCAGAATCTAAATAGTCAGTTGAAGTAGTTGACGATGGCGATGACCTGGAAGTTGAATTGTTGTTGATGTTGTCATGATTATTAAGTGAAGAAGTGGTAATTTGTTGAAGAGATGGTAAAACTATTTTTTCTGAGTGACGACGATGAAATTGATACTGTTGTTCGTGATAATGTTGTTGTTTATTATTATTAGAAATATTCAAAGGCAAGTTATTATTATCATTATCACATAATTCTTGAACCGATAGCGCTCTATTGATACCGCTGCCATTATTATGATGATAATAATTTTGATTCTGAATATAATTTGAATGTTCAAAAGAAATTGGGTTTGTAACTTTAGAAATTGTGGTTTCTGTTGCAAAAGTCATTTTTTTAAAGTAGTAATTATTATTATTTATTTTTTTTTTTTGCGATAGATTTTTTTTTTAAAAAAAATAATAGTATTGCGAGTTTGTTTTTTTTAAAAAAATAATTTTTTAAATATTGTTTATCAAAAAATTTTTTTCTTAAAGAAATAAAATCTTTTGATGATGAATTGTTGTATGATATGAACAAAAAAAAAACGAAGAAAGGAATGCCCTTTATATATAGATTTTTTTTTATCAATAAATAAATAAAATAAATTAAATATATATATTTTTAAGTAACAACAAAAAAAACTTTACACAATCAAAAACTTGTTTGGCTGCCGAATTTATCGAATTTCTGTAAATCCAAATAAAAATTTTTTTTTTATGTGTAATTTATAATATACTCAATATATTCGCAGTTACAAAAATGTAAATTACTATATTTTGGTTTGGTACATATTTAATAAAAATATTTAATTATAATGTATATAATTCAATACAATATCAATGTCATGAATATTTGCAGTATAGTTGTTATTCGATTAACTGTTTTACTCACAATGTTAAATATTATTATATTGAAATTTCCCTGGTCATTTTTATCTATCTGTACCTAACCCATGCATTTCATAATTAATTCTAGAACATCTCACCACACACAAACTTATATGTATGCTGTATGTACATGGATAGATGGAGAAAAAAAATATTATAATTAGTAAAAAAAATTAGAGTTCTTGCACTCATTAAAAAAAAAAAAAAAGAATTTATGCAAACGTGATATTGTTTCGAGCAAGAAGTGCAAACGTGGACAAATATATGCTAAATAAATAAACGACGACGATGATGGTGATGATTTCTTTGTTAATTAAAAGTCATGAGATGATGAGTAAGGATGAGTAAGAGAATAAATATATGAATGGGTAGGCGGAGAAGGCAAATAATTAAATATCATACCGTATATAGAATTATTTATTTTGGTGCAATTCAATGCAATTCTCACACCACGTTTTATGAAGTCTGTTTAACAATGAATGAATGAACTTAATTGAATTAATAATTTCTCTTGTTTCGAAAATGATCTGCAACGTGGCTAAAATTAAACCTGAAAAAACTAAAATGAACTTTAGCAGGAGGGAAATCGAAGAATAAAATTGGAAGAAAAAAATATATTTTAGGTTTTTTTTTAAGGATGGTGCCTGTTTCAGAGAAACAAAATTTATAATACGGAAGCGGTCATGAAACCGTTACACGTTACACAATGTACACACGTTTTTTTTGGATTATGATAACGACTATCAATTGCATCATAATTGTAGATCTCAACAATTTAACCATTTAATTTTAAAGATATTTTTTTATACTTCTCACTATTTTTAGAATTCTCTAAAACAAAAAAAAATTATTATAAAGAATTTATTAGTTAAATAAGCTTATTATATCATTTATTAGTAATAAAATAAATGATTAGATAACAATAACTGAACGACAACAAACATTCTAATAATTGTAAGATAAACAAAGCTCGGGGAACAATAACTCGTTGTCGAATAACAATTAGCGAGTAATTATTTATATTAAATCAATAATAATCAATACATTTATTATAAATTTATAAAACAATTAACCGCGGGAGATTGTTACAATTCAGGTTGGCTATTTGATTATCTTGGCACGTTAGAAGTTCTAGATTTTTGCAACCATCAACTTCTAATTAGAAATTTTATTGTTAACAAAATAACAAAACAACTGTATATTTTGGAATATCACGGAAATTTATAATTGAAACTATTTGTTGTGATCGCAATTATATGATATGTAGTAAACTGTATGGAGTACGATTAGTCGAGAAAAAGATGACGCACAATGCAAATACCAATTGCGTTCAAGAAAACAGGTTAATTTAAGTTATTTATTAGAATGAACCAAGTAAATAAACGGAAAACAAATATTTTTAATATAGATGTATTTGGGCATCAATGAACTTTAAGTTTTAGAATTTTAGATTATTTAGGAAAGTTCCATTACGCGTAACAATAACTTCAATTGAAAAGAAAAGGTTTGTTCAATTGGATTATTGGTATGTTATACATCTTGTCACATGTTATAATGAGCGTGCGTACAATAATAATTAAACGTTTTACACGTTATAAAGCATACACGATCTTAATAACAAACAATACGCGTAAAAGGCAAATAAAGACAACTATTATTCTTGTTTTTCAGTTATTTATTTGTTATTGTTATTTATTAAATGCAACTAATTAATAATCAGGATAAAATTGGTCAATGAATAGTTAACCAATGACAGAACTAGTTACTTAATTAGTTAATACTAGCAAACGAACAATCGAAACATTTTTTGCGAATTTTCAGACCCCCTGTAAATTCATTTATAAGTGTGTCGATCATTTCATATAGAAGGTTTGTTTTGCTATTATCACCTCTTCTTTGAAATTTGAAATTCGAAATATATGCATGTAAGCGTTCTAAAATGATGTTTTTTGAAACTTGGTTTAAAAGGTTTAACGAGCTATAATATTAAAGATGATGTAAAAAATTATTGGTAGAGTGACCTATTTTCATCGGGTAAATTTTAACGTGGTGGAGAATGAGATTGGGGCGTTATATATAATCATAATCACAAACATTGGAGAAATCAAATAATAAAATCAAATTTTTATTTATAAATATTTTTTTGTTATTAAGAAGCGAGAAACTTAAAGAATTTATAAAAATGATTTTAAATTTCTAGAAATCTTGTCTATAATTTTTTAAATGTAAATAAGTATTTTTTAAAAATATGGCTTTGTTACATTGTAAATGCAAAGCTCAAAACATTTTTCAAAAAAATCTCACCTGTATGTGATGAGTTATAACCGGTTATGTTTAAATTTGAGTTTATCGACAAAAATCTATACTAAATACTATTAGGTTTCCAAATTTCAGGGGAAACTAAACACAATATAATATTTCCATATTTGTTTTTGGAAATTTGTTTATTTTTATATATGTTTGTTACAAATTTAGAAAAAAAAATTTATAAATAAACAAAAAAATTTTTTTAGACTCGCCAGAAAAAGTCATGAAATGAAATTAAATTTATGCATTGCTCTATTTAAAAATATCAACACTCGATTGCTATTCCAAATAATTCAATTAATCACTTGCCACCTTTGTCAATATATAATGACCATTATCAATAACAATAATATTACTGTATATCTTTTCTTAAAAAATCATACTAATGCATTATTTATTTATTATTGAAAAATTCCAATTTCAGAAATTAATTAAATTAAATTCTTTAAATTGTTTGAAATATTTTTAGCATAATATCATTATGTTATTTCTAATGAATATTAATGAATTAATTAATAATAATTAATCAATCAATTTCCAATTATTGTATTGTGTTTGTTGTTGACTTAAAAAAAAAGATAAACTCAGTTATTAATCAGTGTCATCATCACGATGACAGATGATATTGTTGAGTTTAAACAGATTAAAGTTTTAAGCGATACGAGTATGCGAGGAAAAAATGAAATTGTTTATTTTTTGATCAAAAAACAATATGAACGGACCAATAAATTTGTATGTGTGTGCTACACACACGCGTATAGATAGAAATTTTCAATTGATTCTTCTTCACATTTTCTTTGCCGAAAGAATATTAATAATATTTAATTTAAATGCGTTAAGGAGAAATACCAATTCGGGGTAATAAATATAATACTTTATTTTTTTTTTTTTTAAATTAATTGTTGTAGCTCTTTTATGGTATAATGACTTTCCAATTATATCGTAAATTCAATGTGAATTGTCATCATAACATTTACATTATCTTGTTTGTATATATTATTTATAGATTAGTTACGAAAGAAAAGAAGAATATTAATGATGGATAAATGGAATGGATGATGGATAGATGAATGGATAGATAGGTGGATTTATGATAAAAAGAAGATAAGGAAAAATATTAATGTAAAGGTCACATTATTTCGAAAAAAGGAATACAAACAAACCTTTAAACATTGATGACAAAGGAACAAATCATCATCGATCATCAATAATCAGTCATCAATCATCAAGAATCAATTAAACAACATCTTCATGATCTAATAATGGCCAAAATTACTATTGTTACTATTAAATAATCTTGACCTTCCTTTCTAATGCCATTACATTAATTAATTACGTTAATTAATTAATTAATTAATATTAATTGCATTGGTTTGACCTCGATCAATTATTAATTGATCCTAAAGAATATTGTTGTTCTAAACCAATCAAACTCTATTGATACGTTCTTAAATGAAAATAATGTGACTCAGTTATCGTTAACCAATGAAAATTGTATTACATACATTTTAACAAAGATCATTTATTTTTGTTATTATTGTTTGTTATATTGTTGTTGTTATTACTATTATTATGATTATTATTATTATTATTATTATTATTATTATTATTATTATTACTTTTGAGATTACTATTATCTTTGAAAACAACGACAAAAAATTTAATATTAACAATAACATTAATTAATATTTTATTAGTTAAATTAATTAGTTGACCTGATCTTTGACGTAATCTAAGGTATTAAAATAATTGAACATGTGTTTGATTATTTTTAATCTGATTTGATATATGCTTTAATTAACTCTTATTAATTAATATAGACAGATAGTTTTGGTGGCATTCAATTTTTAACTAATATAAATTACTGTACTCTTTCCTTTTCAAAGGTACAGACAGGTACCAAATTCACGTAACGTGTGTATAGTTTCGAGCTACGAAGAGTTTTTTTTTCTTTTATGGTGATTTTCAAAATGTGTAGGTTCAAGAGTCATGTAGACTGGGCGAAAACTCTTGACTCTAAACTACACACTATCTACCATCTTTTCACGTAATTTTGGTACCTATGTTTTTGAAGATGGAAGAGTAGTGTGACTTCTCAGAATTTTGTCGATCACAAAAAATATACAAGCTCACTCTGCCTATTCTCATGGCCATAGATACTGGTCGAAATTTCCTCTTGCTTAATCATCATTGCAAAATTAATTTTCCATAGTAATAGTGTTCATTTATTGAGAATCCCGGGTATTTCTGAAACATTTGGCAAATGCAAAAACTACCATCTACGTTATTGGCAAAGAGGTTTATTTTAATTCCAACATAAAAGGTTCTCTTATTTTGAAAGGTTTTGTGTGATTCATATTTGAAACCATTGATAAACGACCACAATTACAACCTACTTCACATATCAATGCATATATTCAACAACGTAATTGATTTCCTTAGTTGACGACTATAGTTTCCGAATTATTTAGGATTGGGACGACGAGCAAATTTTATGGATGGTCACAGATAATTCTTTGATATTGTTTGATTACTCTCTCTCCCAACGCTTCTTTACTTGATCATCACCGCCTGTTATTATTGTCATTACTGTTATTATTATTAGTTCCTTTTTAGTAATTTCTATTTTTCAAGAATTATTCCAAGTATAATTTTATCATGACATTTTTCTTATTATGTCTTGGGTTAACTTTTCACAAATAATTTTACCTGATAATAAATACGAATGCGTTATATATATATTATATATATGTTTCTGTTCTTTAGCATTCGGTCGCGAGTTTGGTAAACATAATATGTTTACACAACACCATCTTGGAAATATACATTTCCATCGGTTAAAACTTTCCACTTTCCATGTACTAACCATAACTTCTGATTCTAAACGTAATCCAAAAAATAATTGGTTTTAACAGAAAATTACCAGGCTACTGACTGACCATGCAAATGCGTAACACACATGTAACCAATTGATTTGAATATTTTGGGCACTAGTGACTCATTATCGATATTTTCCACGTAAAAGCCTCTACAAACTTTCCAATACATAAAGTATTTTGAATCTTGGCGTGATGATGTAGGTATGGGCGGCTCCAAGTAATTGTTAATTTTAGTAAAGTCCAAACGATTAACTATATAAAGTAACACCCTAAAAAAAAATGGTATAAATAAATTCTATTAATAGTTTCTTGCCAGAAAATCATCTCCAAAAATAGCAATTCGTTATTTGAGACCAGACCAAACCGGTTCCAGAACCGGTTCCAAATTCCTATCTCAAGAAAATTTAAAGGTAAACAACTCATTACTGCAAACAAACGTAATTAGTAGCTTGTAAGGAAAAATCAATTCTAGAATTAGCAATTTACTTGGAACCGCCTCATCCCTAAATGAATGATACTGTAGCATGAGTGAGTGCTCGAATCGATTGCCTTTGATCCCTATCGACGCATCAGTAATAAAAAAAGTAGCTCATAGTGAAAAGAAATTCCTTATTATTATTATTATTATTGTCATTAAGTTCATAATAATTATAATCTTTTGGGCATTAAAGTTTTTTCAAAGAGAATGATGATCTATTTTTGTAAATCGATGTGTGTAATCTGATTTTGCCCTTGTCATTCTTCATTAAACCATCACTCTAATCAATAAACTCTTTTCAACTCCATAACCAGTTTATACCCTAGGCCTAAACCCTAACCTAATCTAAATTATCCTAATCGAAGCTTCGGAGTTTTTCCTAAACTAAAGGGTTTCGGTTACAGCATTGATTCTAATAATATTCAATATCCAATGTTTTCATCTACAAATTTAACCAATTAGAGAATAATGGTTTATTTATTATTGTTTAATTTATTATTAAGTATCAAATATGACTATATAATGAATATATCACGATAACAACACTACTTAAGAGTGGATTCTTTAAACCGAACTCCGATTTGTTTATTATTATGCGACACGGGTTTTTTTATTTAATATTAACAAATCGGCTAGCAACAAATTCTAGAAGCAGCAACGCGCTGCAATATTCTAGAAAAATGTTGCTGTAATGAAATTTGTTTATTTGGATAACATGTAATATAATAAAATAAATGTTTGCTTAAAGATATGCATGGAAGATCTTATGACCATGCAGACTTGTTATGAAACAGATTTGGTTCAGTCTACCATTATGTTTCTATTTTTTTTTTAAACAATTAATAATAATTGCATTTTTTACCATTAAACAATTATCTTTTTTTTTTTTTTTTTTTTACTTTTTATAATTAAAATTTCACTTGATTGGTTTCCAATTTGTTAATCGGCTTTCTATTTCGATAACGTTTTAAATAATTTGGGATTATCGAAATCGAAAATTCTATTTTTTTGTTGATTATAAATATAAAAAAATATCACTTAATGGCTTTAAAAAAAATCATAATCAATAGATTGTGAACTAAATCTGGTTCGTAACAAAATCTTGTATTGTGTGGTCTTCTAGGTATAAATATATAAATATATATTTTTTTAATGACGATCCCTGCAAAATCTATTTGATAACGTAGTAACAGTAGATTTCTTGTTTTTCAAAATGGCAACTTCCTAACATATTAAAAAAATAAAAAAACATTAATTGTTCCATGTGGCGTTATTTCATTATGTTACATTTTCAAATAAAAAACAAATACCAGTCCATATAATTACATTTGTTTAATGCAGAGTATGTTTCCAATTGTAAAAAAAAGAAAATGATGCGGGCCTCTTAAAATCACCATTTACTGTGCTGCGCGGCCAGATTTCAAAAAAAAGTGATGATTTTAAAATAAAATCACGTGATATAATTGTTATAAAATTAGAAAATTCTTTTTATTAAATTACTACTAAACTCGGGTAATAAAACCGATGATCTCGGACCACATTACCCCTGCATGTTTGTGCGTTTGTAATGAATTTTATTATGTTTTTGAGGCAAAAAATAAAAATCGTCCAAACTCCGTTACTAATTCAAAATTCAATTACACTTTTTAATCAAATAGGAGACATATTTGATGATTTTCGAACCTTTGCAACAAAAAATTTTTATCTAATTAAATAAATTAAATTTTTATTTTTATTTTCCTAAATTGAAAAAGAGAAAATTTTCAAGTAAAATTGTAGTGCCATTTTTGAATAACATAGAGTTCCTTTTGATATAAAAAAATATAGAAAACAGCAAACTTTTAATTTATATGTATATATGACACTTGATCTGCAATGTAAAACTCACTTGATACAGTGTAGGGGTAGGCCGTAATTAAATAATATTATCTTTTTAGTTGATTCTTAAAAACAACAATTATTGCTTTTAAATTCTATCTATGTATTCATCAATGTTAGTTTGTTTAGTATTATTAAAATTTATTTCTTTTTACTTTGTGTGAAGATTTCTAAATAATTGTGAATCTACGCTCAAATAATTTTGTTGAATAAAATTTAGAACTTTACCAACACTTTCTAAAGCATCATCAGTGCTAACTTTTTCTTCAGCAATATTTTCTTCGACTTCATTTGAGTCTGTTCCCCTAGCAATATTAACTATTTTTTCCATTGACATTTTTTCTTCAAAATCAAATAGAAACATCCAAATTGAATCAGTTCCAGATAACTTATTTAAATCTGATCCCAGATTTATTATTGCCATTGAAATTATTATCTTAATAAAAGTCGAGGAATATAATATACATTGGCTGTGTATTTTAACATTACGATACTACATTGTATCAATAAATTTTTTCTTATGATTTTCTCCACCATAAATCATTTGAATTACTCCATTGTAACGAACAATACACTGTATCAAGAAGACTGCACCGCATCGAGTTTCACAGAACACCAAACATTATATAGATAGGTAATCCTTGTAGTAAAAGACCTAAAAGTTACTATTGAAAAACGCAATGTTGGTGAAAAATTACCAAACTAACCTATCCATTTTTCGGGATTTTATTACAGTAAAATTCAATTCACGTGTATACAGTTTATTTTTTTAAAATCACATGCAAATTTATGGGTTTAGTAGGTCCCTAGTACCATTAAAAACTCCCTGTTCATACAGCGCGTCCCGATTTAGAGAACCTTAGTTTTACGGATTTTGGGGTTTAACGGGTAAAATTTCGAGCCAAATCAGTTTATTATTATTATTATTATTATACATAAATACTACGGATTTTCATATAAAACTCTCGAGATATGTTACTTATCATTATAAATATAATGGACATTCATTACGAAAATCAAACGTGAGATATTTTTATAATCTTACAATTAATCTAAAAATTTTGTATTTATAGTACAAAAGTTATAAATGGTTTAAATGGTTTGGAAAACGCATAAAATTTTTTTTTAGAATTGATTAAAAAAGCGCTAAAGTTAAAAGAGAATGTCGAGTTAATGGATTTATGAGTCATCATTATTTAGTTTTAAGTGTTTTGCGGATATCCAGAAATCTCAGTTTAATATTATTACTCTATACTAAGAGATAAATCTGGTAATATAATTTATTTAAAATTTGGTTATAATGATTATTAATATTATTCAGGATTGGCAACTCTGGCATAAATTACTCTCTCCTGTTCCATTGTTCAATATTAAAATATGAATTTGCCAACCCTGAATAGAATTATATATATAATAATAATGGATACAAATAATAGTTTTATAATTTTATAATTGCTAAAAAAATGGTTATAAACACACACATATTTACAACTTAAAGGCATTGTCAAGTTCACTAGTTATTTCTATGCGTATTTTGCTGTCTTTTTTTTTTAATAATATACAGAAATTTGTAATTAATTAATTTGATATTTAATATATATTTTTTTATTTAAAAAAAAATAAAATAATAAATAGATACCTTGATATTCTTCCAAGACAATCTTATTTTCATTGGTATTCTCACCATGATGAAGTTGCCTAACATGTTCTTCAAGACTTGTTCTGATCTCAAAATTATATTGCAAAGTAAAATCACTCACATTCTCAGGAATATGCTTGTTTAATCTCGTGCTTTTATGAAGTGCAAGTTTATGTGATACATATTTTTGTTGTGTGCTTCGACTACTACCACTACTATTGTAACTGGTATTACTGCTATATTTACTACTGAATTTACCATCACCGTCATTACTATTATTACTATAAGTACTGCAATTGCTACTTTTGTTACTACTATTACTTTTAATACTATTAATACTAGTTGAGGACTTTTTCCTTTTAGGAACTTTCTTGAAGAATTTTCTAAAAATTTTTTTAACTATTTTATCATTATCATCACCTCCCTCATCACTACTTACATCACTACTTGCACTACTGTCATACCCATTACCACTTCTAAAACCTACATTCAACAATTCCTCACTTTCATAAACGCACTTGAATATCTCTTTACCTTCTTTCAGAAGCTGTTTAATATCTGGCCGTTCAATAGGATTCTGGCACCAACATCGTTGCATCAATTCAACATAACTTTTTGGCATATGTGGCAAAGGGGGTGGCCTATATCCACTACATATGTCTATAACCAGATCAAGATCATGTGCTCTATCATCAAATGGTGGATGTCCAGAAAATATTTCCCACATTAACATCCCAATAGCATATATGTCTGACTCTTTGTTTTTTGGTTTGCCATTTAATATTTCTGGTGCAATATATGGCATTATTCCATAGATACCATTGTGTGTCTCCTCATTAGTTGGTCCACACAGGCCAAGGTCAGTAATGTAACAGGCACCTGATTGTTGCATCAATATATTTCCACTGTGTAGATCACAATGGACTAAGTCTTTCTCATGAATATCATCCAGCGAATCTATCAAGTTGTAGAAAATGGTGATTCTATCTTTCAATGTCAAGCTGAAATGGTTCTTTTCTAAATAGTCTCGTAGATTTCCATCTAAAAGATAATTTATGACCATCATGTAATTTCCTGTTTTTGAACACCTTGTTATGCCATAACACTCAGCAATAATTTCTGACTGAAGTTTACTATAATTCATTGCCTAATAAAAAAAAAATTTAAACACAAGAAAATTAGTCATAATGAATTAATTACAATACAGTGTGTAACAAAAAAGCCGTTTTTTTTTGTTTATTAAAAATGGTTGCATGATAAATGATAAAAGGCATATTAAAGAAAGTCATGAATCGAAAGTTTTTATTAATTGCTTTCAATGTTAAGCTTAAAAATTACAATTATAACCACTTAATTTGCAAAGATTTTTTAGCATCTATTACTCTACCTTAATTAACAAAATTAACAAAAAAATTTGTAGGTTGAACAATTTTAAATATTATTGCCTTTTAAAGATCATATTCATGTTAATGAACCATTTTATATATAATTTAATATATATATACTAGAAAAGAAAGAAAAAATCATTGCTTTCCGATTATTTTTGTTACACACTGCATATTGTTATCATGATAATATTTATTCATTTTCATTACCTCTTCAAAAAACTTTTTACTTGGATGTTCTGTATTAAGCAAACACTTTAAGATTACTTTTTGATTACGAAAATAAATGAATTCATTTTTCTCTTCATCCCAATCTTCAGTACACCCACGTGTCCAGGTGGCTGTATAAATCACACTGAATCCACCTTCTGTCATATATTCGACATCTTCAAACTGGTCATAAGGGATCCATTCCATGATATTTCTTGGTAAAGAAGAAATCAATTGACAATTTTGTATAAATCTGTCTACTTCCTCATTACCAGAGGTCCAACTGTCAAACAAACTTTCCAGATGGTGCCTAATGCATATCTCACAGTACCTCTCCGAATATCTGATGGAGTTGCATTTTTTACATGTAAATGGTCTACCGCATTTATAGAGTGCATTGTTTGATTCAAAGTTTTGGATGAATTTTTTTTTACAATACGTTTTCTCATCTTCGGTGAACTCTGTACATTTGGATATTAGTAAGATAAAAGCGCCTTTTCGTGCTTCTCTGGATGGTACGCTTGAGAATATATGATCATACATTTCATTGTAGGTTTTGAGTACAAAGGGTTTCCTTTCGGGTGATAAGATGATTCGCGACATTGATTTTCTTTGGTGGAAGAAAGAATAAATTTTTTTAAAAAAAATAAACAAAGCAAAATCATTTAATATTAATAATAAAAAATAGAATCATTATTTATCTGTACATATTGAATGATTAATTAATTGAATTAATTGATTGATTGAGACACGAGAAATTGAGTATTATGTGTTAGTATAAACACAAACAAACATAGTTGAATTCTTGGCTGGCTTTGAAACCCTTTTTTAATTTAAAATTTTTTTCTAGTTTTTTTAAAAAAAATATAAACGAAACCGTTGTTTTAAAGTATATGTTATTATTATGTGACATCGGCATACCGTTTTTAAATCGAGAGAGGCTAATTTGTTAAATAGATTTCGTTTTTTTTTTTTTATGTTTTATTCTTGGAAAATCTGACTACTTGTGTATTTGCATTTTTCCGAGTTGTTTTTTTTTTTGTTGTTGTGTGAAGCCTGACAGGACCGGGAAAACTCTATTGAATGTGACCGCCAACATTACGATTCGAAAGTACTTTTTTAAAAAAATTGTGACAGCCTCATATAAATTCGATTAATAGAAAATGGGAAAGGTCACCACCGCCTTTATATAATAATAATAGGAAAAAATGACATCGGTTACACTGATTCGCAAATATAGATAAATAAATGGTAATTATAGTGTAACCGATGGCTTTGGTATGGTTATACCAGAAAAACAAATGAGTAAAAAATAGTAAAATAAAAGAATTCCTCATGATTCACGTCAACAATATTTTACTACATGCCACGACTTTCAAGAATTTGTCATGCTAAAAAAATTATTTCAAATTATTTCAAATTATTTCACTCGAGTCAATTATCAAGTTGCAAACTTTAAAAGACATTCCGAGGGTAATATATGTTAACGGTATTTTTCATGTGAAATTTTAGCAGGAGATATTAGAATTCATATGACATCACTGAGAAGTAGCTTTATTCCCCGAGATTACGTTTTTACTCTAATATTAATGACATTAAATCCTTGTTCGTTTGCAGTGCATTTTTAATTTATACTCATTTTAGTATCCCAAGTACACAAAACTTCCTTGTAAATATTTTTAATTGATAAAGATAAATCTCACATACCAGCTATCTTGGTTCGTATTTATTTAATAATAATAATAATAATGATTTTTTAAAAATAGATTTTCGTATAATAACTAATATTCGCATTGGCCAAAACATTTTGTTGATCGTGTCATTCTTGATGATTGATTTAAAAAAGGCAAATTGGACATTGTTGTGGTCCATTCAAAATAATAATGTTACACGCGCTTCAATTTTTAAAGTTTTTCCGTGAACCAGTGCACAAAAAGTACCCTAGTTTGCTGGAGTTTTCGGTAAATATTTCATCCATTTCAGGAAAAATTTCCGAAATTTTCACAAGAAAATTTTGTGCGCTGGCGTGAACTTTGTACATAGAACGTATAATATAGATAAATCTCGTTATAATAATAATCACATACTTATGATCACAGGGTCGGCATCCAATATTAATTTTGCCTTCTTTCTAATAGTATTTTATAAAATTTAAACATGGATAAAAATTTATCTAATTGGAAGAATAGTCATCTTTGAACTATAGAAAATATTGCAAAATCATTAGTTTAAACGTATTGAGAGAAGTATCATAAAGTTGAGGCTGCTTTATTTATATTTATGGATGAAACGAGCCTTATTTTCAAATCTAGCCATTTTCGAAAACAAGTTGAAATCAAAAGGATTGCAATTTGTATACACTCGCCTTCAAAAAAGTCACGGACAGCCTTCTCCAATTTTTGAAACGTATCTTTGCAGAGATTTCCAGAAAGAAAATACATTCTTTGACTTTGTCACCAATTTGTTTTTTACCTCTTTTTTTTACCACACACTTGGTTTTCTTTCAATGCCCATCCTATCACAAAATAATCAACTCTACAGAAAACTTATTGTTAGTTGAATATAATTTTGAAGGCAAGTTTTAAAAATTGTTGTTCCTATTTTTTAAAAAATGCATCATCATTTTTTCTACAACATCATCATGATCTAACGTTTTTCTTCTCGCTGAAATCATTCTCTTGTGGGGTTAATAATTTTGCCTTTATAAATAAAGGTATAATGATTATTGACATTCTACAAATACATATATTTTGATATGTAAATTTCATACCTATAATTTCATTATCAATTGCTTCTTGCAAAAGAGCTGCTAATTCGACATTACTACTATCATTATCAACCTATATACTATTGCTTTTTGATTTCATCAATAGACTACCAACTAGGGTTTGAAGTTGTGATCATTTGTTAGCAAAGTATCAATTATATGTTCTTACATGTATATTTAGATTATTATTTACTATGATTGCTTGGCATTGGAATCATCCATTAGAATTTGGAATGGTGTGATCAAATAATGTCGGGTAGGTATTTTATTATCCATTGTTTTTCAGATAATGGCTGGAGAAATGTTCTCCATCTTCCAAAATTTGGTAAAGAACGAGCACAAAGATATATTGCATATTCCCCATAAACAGGCCATTGAAATTCGAACACAAAGGTGGAATATAGACACGAATGTAGAATAGGTGGAAAGTAAACACAAATGTAGCGAAAGTTAAGTCTTATTTAAAAGTATTTTATTGTGTCAATATTAATACGATAGCAAAGAAGGAAAAAGAGTTCGATTTAAACTACTTATCTTCCCATTTTGCAAAAGTATAAATTTATTTACTAAAAATGTCACACTTGTAAAAATATCCAGCGGGCGTGACTGGCAGGTGCTTAAAATGTTGAGGTATAGAAGTATTGGTGTCAAATAAAAAAGAGACGAGAACTTGGGCAATACTTGGCATGGTTCCAACGGTGCCCAGCGTGATGCTAATGGTGTCCGGTACAATTTAAGATTAATTAAATTGTTACCTTTGAATGATTTCTTTCAAAAGGTGACATCTTTGTACGTCCAGTGGCATTCAACATTGCTCGCCATGTCTCTATTTCACGTCGATTAAACACATGTTCTGTAGGATAAAGGTTTTTTAAAGCTATATTCAACTCAATAGTTGTACTTTGATTCTTCCAAGTTTCAAAAAATAGAACTAATTAATATTTGCAGTTGTTCTTTTTTTAAATGATAATTAAAAATTTGATACATGGTATCTCGTTGCTCCAAAAAAGTTCGAATGCATTTTGGAATTTGTTAATTAGCCAAACTTTGACACGTCATCTTATGCAATGATCTAAAAAAGGTTTTTCTATTTATTTATTTCATAATCCTGTTTCTCACAAATTTCAAACCAACGAAACCTTCAATTTTAATAAATACCTATATGGCATCCATCTCGACCAATTTTTTGAACAAACATTGATCTTTTATATTCGCCAATAAAGATGACATGTATCCTATTCTACTTCATTTATATCAGCATCTTTAGAAATTCCTAACAGTATAATATGAAATTTAAATTTGTCTACTTTGATAACAAAAGAAGAAAATTTGCACACCTTCCAATGATGTTTCTAAATTGCTCTCATCCTCCCAACTTAATATAATGGATCAGAATACTCGGTATTTGAGAGAGGATTTAATTTTTTTATACAATGAAATGGTTGCTTTACTGAAAGAATTTTCAATGTCACCAAACTCACTTTCAACATAAATTCTGGAACCGGTGAATAATTTATGGTCTTTGTTACCTTGCAATACTTGTGTGTAATATCTTTTAGAAGTTGCTTCAATAACAATTTGTGTGTTGGGTAAAGAAATGCACCATTAGTTAAATCAACATCACTTCTCATGGTCCACCAACGAACTGCATTGACGCCATGGTGTCAGATAAGCAAAATTTAGCTATAAGTTTAAATTTTAGAAATGAAAAGATCTACACAATAAAATTCGATATATATCTCTAGCTGCCTGTCCTTGACTTGCGTGTTTTGACAATAACTCAAATTTTTATTATAAAAAGTGGATATGGTTTATAAGACAGAAATGTTCTACATAAAAACTTACATATAAATGTTGTATTAAATCAAAATTTCTTTTCCAAAAGATAGCCAGAAACTCAAAGATTTATTTAGTAAAATTTAAAATAGAAATTTAAAATATTATGTTATTATTTCCTTCCAACAACGACTCCAGATTATGAACACTGATACTAATTGATACTTAATATGTGGATACTAAGGATCAGCAAGTTTTAGTTCAAGAAAAAACGAGCCGATAAGTTTTGAAGCTTGAGTCACATAAAAATTTTTTGTTTAGTATTTTGAAGCTGGCCAATTATTATTATAAGTAATAAAAGCTTCTGACTTTAAAAGGTTTTGTATATAGAGAAGCCATAAATGGTTTGGAAATGCACTTGAACTAAGGTTTCTGACTCAAACGATTTTTGAAAAGAAAGTAACTTTGGAAATAGTTTGGGCTTTTCAATATCTTTTATAAGAATGAATGTGAAAAATTTATACGTATAAATCAACCTATTTTAACTTGAATAAATTTGCCAATTCTGGCTATTAATAAAAATAGTTTGGGCCTATAAAAAATTAATTTTTGCCCAAAGTATTTCCCGAAACCTTAAAGATTTAAGAATTGATCGAGTTGATGGATTTATGAGTCATCATTATTTAGTTTTAGTGTCTAGCGGATTTTATTATAAATCCATAAAGCTCGGCTTAATAATAATTGATAAATTTTCCGGTAGTTAAATCGAAACCCACGGTATACTATTACTATACTAATACTAAGAGATAAAATTCGGTAATACATATAATTGATTTAAAATTTGGTTATATGATTGATAATGACAATTAATAGGTTTCAGGATTGGTAACACTGAAGCAATGGGGCTCCAAATTACTCCATTGTTTCCATTGCTCAAATATTAAATAACATAATTTTTTGAAATGAGCGTGAATTTGCCAACTCTGAATAGGATTATATATAATAATTAAATAATTCCTAATAATGTACATATTTACAACTTAAAGGCATTGTCAAGTTCACTAGTTATTTCTATGCGTATTTTGCTGTCTTTTTTTTTTTAATAATATACAGAAATTTGTAATTAATTAATTTGATATTTAATATATATTTTTTTATTTAAAAAAAAATAAAATAATAAATAGATACCTTGATATTCTTCCAAGACAATCTTATTTTCATTGGTATTCTCACCATGATGAAGTTGCCTAACATGTTCTTCAAGACTTGTTCTGATCTCAAAATTATATTGCAAAGTAAAATCACTCACATTCTCAGGAATATGTTTGTTTAATCTCGTGCTTTTATGAAGTGCAAGTTTATGTGATACATATTTTTGTTGTGTGCTTCGACTACTACCACTACTATTGTAACTGGTATTACTGCTATATTTACTACTGAATTTACCATCACCGTCATTACTATTATTACTATAAGTACTGCAATTGCTACTTTTGTTACTACTATTACTTTTAATACTATTAATACTAGTTGAGGACTTTTTCCTTTTAGGAACTTTCTTGAAGAATTTTCTAAAAATTTTTTTAACTATTTTATCATTATCATCACCTCCCTCATCACTACTTACATCACTACTTGCACTACTGTCATACCCATTACCACTTCTAAAACCTACATTCAACAATTCCTCACTTTCATAAACGCACTTGAATATCTCTTTACCTTCTTTCAGAAGCTGTTTAATATCTGGCCGTTCAATAGGATTCTGGCACCAACATCGTTGCATCAATTCAACATAACTTTTTGGCATATGTGGCAAAGGGGGTGGCCTATATCCACTACATATGTCTATAACCAGATCAAGATCATGTGCTCTATCATCAAATGGCGGATGTCCAGAAAATATCTCCCACATTAACATCCCAATAGCATATATGTCTGACTCTTTGTTTTTTGGTTTGCCATTTAATATTTCTGGTGCAATATATGGCATTATTCCATAGATACCATTGTGTGTCTCCTCATTAGTTGGTCCACACAGGCCAAGGTCAGTAATGTAACAGGCACCTGATTGTTGCATCAATATATTTCCACTGTGTAGATCACAATGGACTAAGTCTTTCTCATGAATATCATCCAGCGAATCTATCAAGTTGTAGAAAATGGTGATTCTATCTTTCAATGTCAAGCTGAAATGGTTCTTTTCTAAATAGTCTCGTAGATTTCCATCTAAAAGATAATTTATGACCATCATGTAATTTCCTGTTTTTGAACACCTTGTTATGCCATAACACTCAGCAATAATTTCTGACTGAA